TATTGTTGGGTTACGGTAGCACTCGTTTGCCGGCTGTGTTTTCAAAAATTCTCCTTGAAATATGGTGGCCTAACTTGTGTGAAAATTTTTTTGCACATGAATAATAAGTATATATATAAATTGATTAGCATTTTAAATTTTTTCTTCACTATTTTTTCTTCACTATCATTTTGATGTAGAAAACGGAAAATACAGCATAAATGAAACAGAATTTTTTCAAAATTTACCTTCCGACCTAACTAGAGTATACTTCAAGCTCAACACTTCCAGATCCTCCACCATCAATCTAACACTTCCGGATCGAAATTTTGTTCATTGTGAAGAATGTGGAAGTGTTACTGTTGGTAGTACAACTATTCAAATCCCTTGTGACCATAATCATACATGCGAGGGTAATTATTGTGTGTCAGGTAACTAGAGTAATTGGGAAGGTAATTAACTAATTAATTGATTTCAGTCCGTGGACAAGCCCCATACTCGTACTGCGGTGGTGTTTGGGATGTGGAGAAGGCTGTGAGTTTTGAATTGATCTTAATTTTTATGCCCATAAAAGTTCAATTGGGCTTCAAATCCTCTTCATGACAAGTTACAATAGCTACGAAACACACAAAAAAATTCCTATCCAAGACTTTTTTCTGTTTCTTGACCTTCTTAACCGGTAGAAGTTTCTTTCCCCTCGTGATCAAACCAATATAATTGATTTTGTGGAATTAAAGCCAACTAGATGTTCCCTTTTGCAGGCCGGATGTTACTACGATGAAGACGATATGGAGACGTGCCTCTGTTCCATGAATATGTGCAATTTTTTAAGGGATCCAGCACCATTGATGACAACACAAGCACTATCGGATCGTGAGTTTTTGGATAAATAGGGTTGGAAAAGCTACATTTTTGTCTTGTTGGGGTCTTACGGTAGTTTAAAATAAAAATTTTTTGTATAATTAAGCAGCTTCAAATTATTGCCTTAAGGTTTAAAAATTCACTTGCTACATTAAATTGAGTGCATTGATTTTTCAGCAACACTCGCCACTCTGCTTCCACCTCTCGTTCTCGGAGAAGAAAATGCGGTGACTCCTGGAATTGTAGTTCCAGAGGTTACGGTAGCCACAGGAACACCAGGAACTACAGTTAAACCCACTACAAGTAAGAGGAAACTTCATAAAAATCAAAAGGCACCATTCAGACACTGATTTTCAAAAAAAATGATCCAAATTTGAAAAAGTTTGGGAAACTGGAAATTTTTGAATTTTATCTAAAGTTTGCTGAATTCGAATTAAAAAAAAATTACAGAGAGAAAGTGTAAAAACGCAAAACTGTCGCCAAACGATCAGGCAGTTTTCATGGGTGAGAAGCTGAAGAATGTGATTTTGGGTGGTTTTGGATCCGGGGATGGAGCTGTTCAGGTAAGTTTTGTTGCTCATTTGAAACACCGTAAAACCTAAAAGGACTTCTCTTTGACCCAATTTATCGTTTTGTGAAAGATATCAAAAAGTGTTCAACTGACAAAATGTTGCTGATAATATGATAAACATTTTGTTAGTTGACAACTTTTTGATATCTTTCACATGAGCTGAGATTGTGGACCTAGTTGAATTGAGGGTAATTTTTTTTTCGAAAAAAATCTCTGTTTCAAAACTATAAGAAATTTTGAGAAAATTTGAAAAGTGATTTATCGATGAGCCATCGGGTTATTAACATTTTTTTGAATTTCCGCCAGAACTGAAAATTAGGTTCAGAGGAAAATACGAATTGGCGGAAATTCGAAAATATTGAAACAGACTTCGAAAATTAAAAAAAACACTTTTTCATAAACATTTTTTTTCATAAACATTTTTTTTCATAAACATTTTTTTTTCATAAACAATTTTGACTTCCGATTAAATTTCTGATTCATAAAAGAACTGTAAAAACTAGTTTAAAAATTTTTTTTCCAGAACTTCGAGGATGACATTAACGATCACATTTGCAACTATTCGGATGATGAGTGATAAACTTTTTTGCTGTCTGGATAATGCTGAGAACTGATAAAAATGTTTTATTCTTAAATCTTGTTTTAAGAATTATTAATAAACTTTGTTCTTAAAAGGGAAGACAGGAAAGTCTCTCCAGGAAAGCTGCATTTAAAATTACAGTTGCCGAATTTCTAGAAGTGTATCATTTCTAAAAATCTTACAGTTGAACTTACCAATTTGAAGAAAGGAGAGAATAGAAAGTTGTGATAGTATGCATTCCGTTGCGAATAGGTCCTCCGTTTTACTTCTTTTTTCTTACAAATAGTTTAAATTCATTTTTACAATTTTTTTTTCGAAGATACATACAGTTTGATCAATCAGTACGATCAAAATTTCAAACACTTATTTATCGGAAGCAATAGCGAATTATCAACAAAATGTTAACGAAAAGATCGGAGCTCTGAATCATAAAATATGTTTCAAAGTATGAATAATTGAATAAAAATCAACGTTTTAAAAACTCTGAAATGGTCGATTCTTATGAAACTTGCGAAACGTTCCGAAACTTTGATCCAATTTGTCTCGGCTCATGTGACATAAATCAAAAAATAGTCTACTATCAAAATGTGTCAAAAACATTCTTTGTTGACCACTTTTGGCAATCATTCACAAAAAATTAGGTAAATTAAGTTTACAGAATAACTCTTACTATTAGGTCTTACGGTAGATCAAATTACTACGCCATTTTTGTTGCACAGCTTCAAACTATCGCCATAATATCTTCAAACTAATTTTCCATATTCATCTTATTTTAGTTAAACCGACTACAAGTAAGAGCAAAATTTTAATGAATTTTAATAAAGATATGTTCAAAATACTGATTTTCAAAAAAAAAATCGAAAGCAGAAAAGTTTGTGAAAATTTCCAAAATTCTTATCTAAAATGTGATGGATTTGAAAGATGTTTACAGAAAGAAAGAGTACGATCAAGCCGTTTATATGGGGGAGAAGCTGAAGAATGTGATTTTGGGTGGATTTGGATCCGATGATGAAGCAGTTCAGGTATTTTTTGTTGCTCATTTGAGATACCGTAAGAACTAGAGTGGAGTTACTTTGACCTAATTTATCTCGCTTCGTGTGAAACATACTAAGAAGTTGTCAACTGATAAAAAGTCACTGATAATATGATAAGCATTTTGTCAGTTGACAACTTTTTGATATCTGTTACAGGAACTGATAAAAAATAGGCCAAAAAGAATCTGGGTGAAATATAAAAAATTGTTTTCAAAAAATAGGTAAAATTTTTAATTTTTTTTCTTCTAATGTTGAATTTAATTTTGATTCCAAACTAATTTTTAAATTTTCAAGAACTTCGAGGATGACATCAATGATCACATTTACAACTATTCAGATGAAGATTGATCAAGTTTTGTTTTTCAATTGTTTGAATAATGTTGAGAACTGATACAAAAGATTACAGTTTGCCAGTTTTCAAAAGTCTACCATTTCTGAAGTTCCTAGATCAACGACATTTGAATCTAATTTGAAAAAAAACATATTTTCGATTTGGCTACAAATTATATTTTATGTTTCGATGCCAACGTTTATACTGAAAAAATGAGTAGCAACTATTAGGTAACCAATAAAGCATTTTATGATCAGTGTTTCCAACTATTCAAATTGATAAACCGTTTGTAAAGCGGAAATCATTAAGCTCAAATATCACAATTAATGATTCAATAAGTTGATATTTGAATACACCAATTTTAAAAACATTAATCCCTTCATGTAATCTGACACTAAAAAGTAACTCATTTCGTTAATTTTTAGATTTCAGCAACAGGAAGAGATTGGGTCGCAGTATGTTATAATTAGCCAAAAAATGTGGTTTGAAGATGAGCAATGCTGCACTCTTTGTGATTTTCGAATTCATTTTAATGTTGAAAACTTTAAAAGTCAATAAGAGTACGGTGGAGCAAGTATATCTTTCCAAGTTAACATTTTCAGTTTCAGCAAGTTTTTGAAATATTTCGATTTCTTCTTCATCCATTGCTTCCTTCAATTGTGTTAAGGTTTTTAATTAAAGCAGTTTAATTACATTTTTTGTGTAGAGATACCAGCAGAAACAGCTAACACATTTTGTTTAACTTATGTATTACTGTGGCTCGATTGATAGCAATGATAAAACATTTAGAGTTTCTGTTTCATTCGGATCATTTGAATTTTAACATTTTTTCAAATAAATCCAGTATCAACTTTTCCATTTAAGTTTCTATCAGCGATCTAGAAAAACGTGCAGACATAGTTTGCTTTATCGCACTATTGCTAGTTTGAAGCCCAACTTTTGATAAGTTGTTAAAGTTTTAGAGTTTTATTTCTGTTTCATTTGGTAGATTTGACTTTTTAGAAATTTTGCTGACTTAACACATTCGTTCCCTTGTGATAACTTAATTGGCAACAATAGTGGTAGAGTTAAATCGTTGGTACAGAACGCTCTAGATTCATAAACTTAGCCCTACGGGGTTAGGATTCAAATTCCGTTGTTCGTCATTGCAATGATTTATTTCAATATACAATTTCTGTCAGTGATCCATAATATGTACCTAGTGCGCTCCATTATACTGCATATGATTTTTTTTAGAATTAGAATTATTTATTTTCAAACGGTGTCATACGATACATAAGAGAAAGGCAGCTCCCCTCGCGAGGAGCGCTACCAGGTAAAACATATTGAAATTTGCTGATTGAGGCAAACATAACTTTATATCGGTTAAACTTTGATCATCTCGCTTCCTGTGAAGAATATCAAGAAACTGTCAACTCATAAAACATTAGTTGGATAATTTCACACATTTTGTTAATTGAACACTTTTAATTAACTTAATTGGCAATTAAGATAATTCCACAATCGATTACTCAAGTTAAAACTGTATGAGAAGGGAATCTAACTTTGACTCCATTTAACTCGGTTCTTGTGAAAGATATCAAAAAGTAGTCAACTGATAAAATGTTTTTGATAATTTGATAAACATTTTGACAATTGACCACTTTTTGATTTCTTTCACAGAAAATGAGATATCTGGGCTACTGTATATTCCCCCATGAGATTCCCCAAATTCTCCCTTGTCACTTCCAATACTCATCACTATTATCATTTGGATTCTTCTAGTGAATAGAGAACATAATAATAAATTATATCAAAACCAGAAGCATTGTCTTCTTTTGGCTTCTCCTTTTGATATCTCCAACATTCTGGGTCATATCTATATATGTATAGCTTCTGAATTCTTCTATTTCATCCCAAAAAGAAAACGAATTGGCAATTCAAAGTGATATGAAATGAAGAGATGACATCCTCCTCCCTCCATTCCATTTAGGCTACAACCGGTTTTCATTGGAATACCTGACGTTTTTCTGTGCCTCTCTCTCTCTCTCTCTCTCTCTCTCTCTCTCTTTCTTTTCCTAATAAATTATGCGCGCCAAGTTTTAGAATCCTCTGCGCGTCTCTAATCATTTGGACAAATGCCAACTGATACAGAAGACACGCCCTGGACTAGCTTGGCGAATGGAATGGAATGTTCTGAAGAAACTCTTTTTTTTCTGAACTTCTGAATTTGCTGTTTCAAGACTATGATAAGTTAACTGATAAAGTACTTGGAACTCAATTATCATTAATTCCGTTAGAGATATCAAAACTTTGTAAACTACAAAAATGTTGGTGATAGTATGACAAACATTTTATCAGTTGACAAAGTGTTTATATCTTTTAAGGGAACCGATATAATTGAGCTCAAAGTAGGGTAGTGTCGAGTTGAACCTTGAGACAAAAATGCGAATTTTGTTTATATGGCGTTTACCATATAAATCCCAAAACCCCCAGAAAAAATCCTCCATTTCTTTGTAGTTTTTAGATTACAGTAGCTATAATTTTTGAAAAACAGTTGTAGTGGTGAAATGTTATTGAACACTTGAGAGACTTTACAATCCTGCAAAATGCTTGATAATTTTGAATCTAAAAAAAATTGGCCCGAAATTTTTGAAATTGTCCTGATCATACTTGTTCGGGAAATTTTTTTCGGGAGTTCCAGTTCCGAAAATTTAATCCCGAAAATTTTCCCGGAATTATTTTTCGAGAAATCGGGTTCCCGAAAAATTTCTCGAAAAATCTTTTCGGGAAATTTTGTTCCCGAAATTTTTCCCGAAGTTTTTATTCGGGAATTTCCGGGAAAATCGGGAAAAATCGGGAAGTTGGTTTTTCAGTGAATTTTACCTGTTTTTCTCAAGTTATGTTGAGATTTGTCGATTTCTTCAAGTTTCTCAAAAGATCCCAAAACCCCCAGACTTCCCGTCGGGAAAAATTCCCGAAAAAAAATTCGGGAAAATTCCTGTCGGGAAAAATTCCCAAAAATTTCCGGGAAAACCGGGAAAACGGGAATCCCGATTTCCCGATTTGAACAAGTCTGGTCCTGATATTAATTTCGTTTGATTTTCGATTCCACAAATTTCAGAATTTCGTTAAAAGAATTTCGTTGCTTTAGATGTTTGGCCATTTTATAGAGCTCTGAATTGAAAAAGAAATCACTGATCAGTTATGTATAATATTTTTGTGAAACCCTGAATTTTTCGAAATCATCCAGAAACTACCCAAAATTTAGTTCTACTGCTGGATTTTTTGTTTAAAAAAACCCTGTTCCACTTCGGTTAGAAATCCATATACATAAAATTATTAACATTAAACTTTCTACACACGGCTTGCACAAATCAGTTAAACTCATTGAATTTAGGAGAACAATTTCAAAATATTCAATATGGCTGAAACTGAGAAAAAACTCATTTAATACATTTTTCCGTTTCGAGGACTTATTTTTCTCAACGATTTTCTAACGGTTAGTAATTGGTTAGGAGTTCTTAAAGGTGGGGGGACAGGAGATTTTTCGTAGTTTTTTTTGTAGCTAGAGTATGCATTCTACCGTCACGGTGTACAACGCTTAATGTCACTCTGCGTACAGCTGTCGTCCTCGCCTTTATGTATGCAATCGGGCGTGCGCTTTCTCTTTATCCGCGTGGCTCAGTCGGTAGCGGCGCCGCACCCTCTTCTGCGCCCTCACAAGTTCAACTCCTCGAGGGGCATCTTTGAACGGAATTTCGAGAACATTATTTTTTTCATGTCCCCCCACCTTTAAAGGTGGTGTGTGGTAAAAAATTTTATTGCTATATTTTGTGCAGAAATCCATGTAGAGTCCCATAACAATAAAGAAAAAATTCAAAAAAATTCCTTCCTTGAGAAAAACGGCATCAAAAAGTCACAGTGGGAACCGGTGGCCCAGCGGCCAGGTGTGAGTTTTCTAGGCCAACTGCCGGTAAAAGTGCGCGAAATTCGAATTTCTATTGATTTTCAGTGCTTTCTCTGATGGTTTTTAAACACTTCAAAGTTTTATTGTTAATTTCTTCCCCAGGTGTATGAA